GTTCAAATCAAACAGTGTTACTGTAACTTTTTTGTACTTGAGAACTAGCATATTAGATCCGTACGGTGTACTTTACTAGTTTATTTCTAGTGCGACTCGAATATTTTCTATCACTATAACATCGATTGCGATCTCTAAGGCCTACCGCTTGACCATCGCCAAACTTAGCCTTTTCTGGATTCAGATGCCATTTTGAATCCTTTGCCGATTTGTATATCCATAAGATACTGCTATGAATCTTAAAACAAGTGGAAGCCATGGCGCTCAATTTTATTTTGCTCTCGTTGGATCCATGCGGAGCGAATGCCAATTTGATCGCCATCTCTCAAAGGGGAAACGCCTCGTGCCTCTCCTCATTCCAGAACCTTCACATCTCATCCACGGAGGAGAGCACTAGGGTAGTCATTTAATAAACACTTTCAGTCGTTCTTTTTTGGCTAATCTCATCTTTGCTCAAAAGCTATAATTATCCTTGTATGAGGTTTAAGATTTGCCCTCAACTTTCACATTACGCCAATTTCCCGGTCTACTTTGTTATGCGAATGTTTACGTGAAGTAAGATGTTAGAGTTCTCATTCACTGTGCGAGTTCTGAGAGTGGATTGAGCAAATCCGACGCCTTAGCATAGTTTGTTTGGCACGGAAGTAGGCGTGTTTCCTGCTCTATTCGCTGATAAATATCCCTCTTTTCAACGTATTCACACAAAATCTCCTAGTATGACAACTGATAATTCTGCATTTCCTCTCTTTCTTGCTCCTACTTGATTCATCGAGCTTGCGCTGTGCAGTCATGTTTATGTGAGTTGTGAAGTGCAGCGCCCTTCCAAGGAACCTTTGGGCGTGACGAGTTTTAATTCGATTTTAATCTTGTTATTTCTAGATTTTATCCACTTGGCCTGCATAACCGGCTTCAAACTATGCGTAAGTCTTTTTTTCTTGTTCCTTTTTTTTACTTGAAATACTTTCCTAAGCAAAAAAAAGTTCTTGAATTTGGCGCGAGAAGATGATGCAGCTGCATAGGATTTGTTCAAAAATTGCGTTGGTGACAGCTGTGTGCACATTTACAAGTCCAGACAGGAGGTGAGGGAGGGTGAAGGAAAAAAATGCCGGCAGTAACACTGTTAGCCAACTTACTCCCACACTCTGACGCACTCTCCTCATTCTCGGCTTATCGCCCATCATTTGCTTTGCACAACAAGATGCGATTAAAGCAAATTTGCTCTCATTCTAATTTCCGCAATTCCTGTGATCGTTGGATTAACATGAAATGAGCATTTCTACCTGAATCTTGCATGTTTCAAGTCACTTTAACAGCGGAAGCCCGCATACGAGCAGCAAATCGACCGGCGCCGAAGAGCTATGTTGCCTTCTACTCTTAGTTCGAAGCTTCAAAGAAATCCTAAGTCTGCGAATTCGGCTTGCAAAGCCAAGAGCTCAAAGCGCGCAAAAGTAGTGAAGCCTAGAAAAAACGCTACGAAAAGGGCGAAAACGAAATTTGCAAAATTAGGCAAATCGACAAAAACTTCCAGAAGAAAGCAGCGTAAGTGTTAATATCTCAGCAATGATAACTAAATCATACGAATTTTTAGCTCTCACGCAACGCCGCCAATCTCCGATCGACATTATAAG